ATACATATATAATGTATAAATTTCATCAAATTCTTGAAAGGAGAATAATTTTTTTTAGCAGATAGAAAATTTATGTTGAGTATATTTTAAGACTATTGTCAAGAAAATAATCTTTGTTAGATAAGATAACTATATTACTTAAAAGGAGGAAGTGTGTAAACAAAACAATCACTTTTTATTTAACAGTAGAATGATTTTTTTTCCTTTTTTGGGGAGAGATACGAATCGGAAAACTTGAGTTCAGCTAATTTCTATGGAAGATCAAGTTAGAGAAAAACCCAAACCTTCTCGTAAATGTTGTATAGTGTAAGGAATTTTTCGAAATTTTTTGTATCAAATATTACATGGTAATTTGAGAAGCACTGGCCTAGGGCACCGTAAGTAGATTACAAGCAGGTAAGAGGCACTGGGATTACCCGCTCGAATCGGAGGAGGCACCTGTTTGCGCAATTCTCAAAGGCGCTTCATAATTGCGCACGGCGCACACGGCTTATCCGAAATCACACTCACGGTTACAACTGCGCGGCTTATCGGATTATCATCTACTTTCTGCACCGCATAAATATATTAGTGTTTTGCTCCTCGCCGTTGCTTACATCGCTTTACAAACGCGCTACGATGTGAAACGCTGCTCGAGCAAAATGTCCAGCGGAGCGAGTGATTAATACGTCTACAATTGCAAACGAGATGCTCGGCTTTGAATGAATTCGATACGATACCTGTGAAGAATTAATTCATCGAAAAATGAGCCGATTCCGCAAAACTGATGATTTTCTACACGATTCTTATTCAGATACGTCTGGAATCGACGATGTATGTGATGAAGAATAAAGATTGGCAGTAGAGCGTCAGCTAAATGATAGAAATAATTTGGATAACGAGTAGAGCGATCAGAAAGACACATTTGCATAGAAAAACAATTCCTAGCATAATTGAATTTTCCGTTGCTTAGAAAGAACAGGAACTAAGCAGAGAACTCTTCCTCTCGTTGAAGAAACGACGAGATTCCCATAGGAAGTTTCTAATCAATCAATTGTTTTCATCATTTTAATCAACTTTTAAAACAGCTTAATGCTCAGACAAATTATTTTGCGGTTGTAGTAGCATTTTTCATCACCGAAATTTTACCTGTGCAGTTATATCAACCGACACCTTTTTTTCTATATGCAAAAGTGACTTTTATGAATTCAATCTTAACACTTTACCGCCCGAAGAGCTATTAATATATTCGCAGACATATCTAATTAGAAACACTAACACGTTGAACGTGTGTGACACGCGTTTAACTACGTTTCAGAATTATGCGCTAATAAAAACCACGTCGAACCGCGAGACAACTAAATGTCCATGACGTTATTTGACGTTTTGTCGTATCATATAAATTGGCAAGCTCACGTTTATAGACGCAAAGCATTTAAAGCGCAAATGTGATAATAAGCCTTCTACCTACGATTTACCAGTAGGCAAATTATTACGACACTTTAATTGCACTTTAAAGCAAACAAATCATTTCTTTAGTAACATCTCGTCCCTCGTCATCCGATTCAAATTATCCAATCGTTCCGTCTGTTTTTATATACATCGCTTTGCAATAGTTTCTAGGCTGGACAATTTCAACAACACTTGTCCCACTTGTCTTTTATATATGTTTGTATATGTAACTATCCTTTCACAACTATAATATTAGAGGAAGGTCATCTATATTGAATCAGTTTTCAATCTTTCTTTCTTATAATTTGCAAAAACTTAATAAAAATGAGATAAAGCTTAATTGGAGTTATATTTTTTATTTCTTTTCGTGACATCTATGATTTTTTTTAAATTTTTGTATAACGACATCTTCTGTAGATACGTCTTTTTTAAATTCTCTGCAAGTAGGATTTCCCAAATCATACCATATTTCCTTTATCATACTGATGTACTTAATTTGAAAACTGTGAGGGGATAAAAATAAAATACAAACAATTTAAATAAATACGTGTTTAATTTAAATTACAGTTTATATAAAAAACTAAAAAAATAATATTTTTAATTAAAAAAATAAACATTAAAATAACAAAAATAAAATATTTTTATTTTTAAAAACTTAATTAAGAAGTTAATTGAAATCACAGCTCGTATGAAAAATTCAAGAAATATTTTTTGATTAGAAATAAATATTAAAATTATTTATCAAAATAATTATTAAAATTACATTCATTTTCATATGAAATTTATTTTATAGGAAATTTGACTTTTTATATTCATAAAATCATTCTTTAACCACATAGCTAAAAATTGCAGAATTTATCTATTACATTCTCGAAATCAAATCACAGGAAAAAAAATATTTTCGTTTTAGAAACATAATGAAGAAATAAACAACCATTTAACAAAAATATATTTTTCAATTAAAACAAAAATAAAGCTAGATAACAAAAAGTGAAAAAGGAAAAAATAAATTATTTTCTATAGACTTTAAGAATAATGGTCACAGATGTAATTTCCCTTTAGACGGAAATTTCTAAATTATACTTGTAAACAATCAATAGATCAATAGATAGTACGATTTAAGAAACTAGTCGTGTTTTTCAAGTTATGGCAATAAAGCATGCACAAAATAAGGTTATATCCAAACTGTACCAGGCAAATATTTTAATTTTAATGTAATATAAAAACGATAAGCAGCTAAATTAATATACCTTTCAAAGTTTCGAAATGATTCATGTAAAACTTATTTCTAAAACTAAAAAACCGTCACTTGCTCTTTTTAACCAGACGCTTTCGTGCGTAAACATTCATTTCCTTCTATTAACTTTATGGCGATAGATGAACCTCGTCTAATACGCAAATAACGCTAAATCTTCCGGATTTTATGAAATATAAAGACGGTATATATATCGGCGCTTTCTCCCACCTTCAATTTATATGTATGTGTGTGCACAATAAAGTTATTATTTGATTCTAAAAATAGAAATTTCCGACTTTTACCAGCATTCTGATCATTTATATTCAGCTCTTCCTCTCTCCATTCAACTCTCTCTCACAATTCTCTTCTTTTACTCTCACTGCGAGTCCCCTCTGTGTGTACGAATGTTTCAAGAATATTTCTAATTTTTGAAATGCACGACCCGTATCGTTTCGCGAATCTCTCGGTACCAAGTGGATCGCAGCATATTTTTCAACCGATCTATCTATTTACGATCTACCTTATCCATTTTACCCATCCTAGTTTATGTACACAGTGTTTCGCAATCAGCTAGGAAAGCTTATTGCAATTACAGAATCTCTCCGCGGGTTTCTAGCAAGATGCACTGCGATTCCAGTGGCGATCCTGCTTCGACCAGTATAACGTGTCGTTTGAGCGCGCGCATCAGGAGCGTATGCGCACATGCACGCCCTCGGAAATAGATGATAGCGGCTTCCCCTCCCCCTTGTCTGTTTCTCACACCCCGAGCCACCCTTGCATACACGAATATTTCATAATTCCGACGCGGTCACGCATGGTCCCGGCCGGCCGCAGCTGCGTGAACTGCCCTGCACTTTATTAGCATACCTATAAAAATGCGCGCGTCCGCGCGTAAACGGACGCGCGACGAATTACACACGCCCGAAATTTCCGTAAATATCTCGTAAAACGTCATAGAGTCAGTGACATCTATTAGTTCAGGCATATTTCCCGCGGCGTTGCCGTGTCGAATTCCGACCGACGCATCGCCTACCGCGCATCACCGCTTGTGAATGAAACACACCCTTCAGTATCTCGCAGTCGGTGTCGCGACTGCGAGACCCTTAAATGCGACTAACGAGCGTTCAAATACGAGCAATCACATGGATTTGTGTTATGACAAGTGACAGATAATTAGCGATTGGCCTTGGCGCACTCGACGAAAAGTCGGAAGAGTTGAAGAATCCCGTCAAAGCAATCGCGCGGTAAGGACGTGATCGGCGAGTTCTTTGACTCTTTCCCCACTTCTTTTTCTCCTTCTCGTACAATTTGCAGCTCAGTGTCTCCGAAACGATTCACAATCGCTTGCGACGATCGAAAAAAAAAAATCTGCGAAGGTACGTATAAATTTGCAGCTGCGTCACTGCCTCGTGAGGAACGTTGAGTGTCTGAATACGAATAAGCTCAAAATAAATTTCGAGAAATGGGGAACTTTGTATGACACATGCGTTCTTAAATCGTCATAGAGTGTCAAAGAAATTCCATCGGTTTCCGTCGAACTGGCTCATAAGAGTTTTTACATGAAAATTGAGAGTAATTATGTAAAGAAAATCACACATCTTGGATTCCTTTGACTCTTCAACCTTACTAAATTAAAGAGCTTACATTAAATTGAAATATACAATATACTGTCGCTTATAAAAACAATATAAAAGGAATAAATTTCGCCTCATCAAATTGACGAATCTATATCATACACCAAAATAACAGATGCAGTCTTGTTCAAAGTTCGAGTTTTAATGTACAGTAAAATTTATAAAAAAAAGAAGCGTCTAAATATAATAAGTCGCTTCCGTAAAGATCTTTGCTAACAATAATGTACATCAGTTTAACAAAGCAAAAAATTTGAACGGGCTATTTGTGACTGGTATATTGACTGGCGCACTCTCGCATGTGCGCGTAAATAAAAAAATAGTAAGAGCAACAAAGAGCTCATTTTTTCAACATAATTTATTATAAAATTCTGGAGTGAGATATCTCAGAAACTGCGACCAACACATAGTCGTAGAGTAAAATTATTCAGAAAAGGATTCCGTCCTTTATAACGTATGTTAAATTCAAAGAAATCTGAGATATGTAACTTTTTCCATATAAGTAACAAATTAGGAAATGAACGCTGAAAACGCTGTCCATTGAATGGCGCCGTTCTTTTTCACTTTTTTTTCACTTACCAGAATCTCACGCTTCGCGACTCGCGCGGCGCGAAAGGCGCCGTTCTCGCGAGTCCGCGCGCAACTTTCCTCCCCCTTTTCCCCGACGCACTCACGCCGTCCGATCGACACGCGTCACTTACCGGCCAGTCTTCGTGATGATCATCTCCGTGCCGAGGCTGTTGAACTTTTTCCAGAGATCCTTGGTCTCGAGGTGGCACTCGACGTCACGCAGCTCGTCCGAGTTACAGCTGGTTTTCAGACGCACCTTCGTGTCCTCGGTCACGCTGACGTCGTCCGCGCATTTCCGCGATGACGCCCCAGTACCACCCATCTCGTCGGCCAACATCCTGTGTAACGGGCCGTCTTCGACGCTGCTGCACTCCTCCACGTCCACGTCCGCCTCCTCTTCCTCCTCGTTCGTGGACTTCTCTGTGCCCTCGCTTTCACCCTCGCCCTCGCCCTCACCCTCACCGTTCTCGACCTCCTCGTCGCCTACCAACATGGTTTCTGCCGTCATCACCGTAGCCGTCGCGACAATGTTCACCGGCGATGATCGAACGCCTACGAAATATGGATTTTGCGATATAAATAGTTAACAACACAGTATTATCATATTATTAAGCGTAGAAAAAATATTCAGAAAAAATATTCTTTTTGTATCAATAGAAAACAGAAGAGGATATAATGTACTATAATTATGACAAAATAAATTATATAAAATAATTAGTATGAATAATGATATAAAATAATTTATAATGATATAAATAATTTATTAAAAATAATAAAGATATTATACTTTATTAAACATATACAGAAAAAATATTCCCTTTATAAGGGTGTCCCAAAATTCACGCAAGAAGTAATTTTATAGAAAACACAGGTTTATAATTAAAAATTGTAAATTTTTTATTGATTCATAAAGTATACAGTATAGGGATTATGTATGGAATAGCATATCGGGTAAACGGCCACAGCGAAGAAACTTCGTTGAATGGATTATGGAACAACAATAAGTGGATGCTGATTTTTCGAACAAAATCATCTTCAGCGATGAGGCTCATTTTCATCTTGATGGCTTGGTTAATCGACAAAATTGTCGCATTTGGGGTTCAGTAAATCCACGAGTGATTGTTGAGAAACAAATGCATCCACAATGTGTCACTGTTTTGTGCGGATTTTGGGCTGGAGGCATCATCGGATCATTCTTCTTCGAAAATGCGGCTGGTCAGGCAATACAGTTAATGGTGCTCGCTATCGCGACATGATAATCCAGTTTTTTGTGCCTAAATTGCAAGATATGGATGTGAACGACATGTGGTTTCAACAAGACGGTGCACATACAGCCCGAGAAACAATTCAATTACTGCATGAGTCATTTCCTGGTCGTGTAATTTCCCGTTTTGGTGATCAGATTTGGCCGCCCAGATCATGCGATTTAATGCCGTTGGACTTTTTTCTTTGGGGCTTTTTGAAGTCTAAGGTTTATGCCAACAAGCTCACGACCACCCACGCCTTGAAGAAGGAAATTGAGCGCTGTATCAACGAAATTCAGCCACACTTATGCAAAAGGGTCATGGAAAATTTCAACAAAAGAGTGCATATGTGCCAGCAAAGCAGTGGAGGCCATTTACCCGATATGCTATTCCATACATAACCCTATACTGTATACTTTATGAATCAATAAAAAATTTACAATTTTTAATTATAAACCTGCGTTTTCTATCAAAATTACTTCTTGCGTGAATTTTGGGACATCCTTTATTAATAAAAAACAGAAAAGGGTATAATATACTATAATTATAACAAAATAATTTATATAAAATAGTTAATATGAATAATGATATAAAATGATATAATGATATAATGATATAATGATATAAAATAATTTATATAAAATAATAAATCATATATCATAAAGATGTTTAATCGATCGGATTCTTAGCATATTTAATGATGTATCGAAAAAAGTAATCGAGATAATGTAATCAAGACACGTGTCAAGGAATGCGGAACAAATGCGATAAGCGGCGAGTGACTCACTTTCGGTTATTACGCAGCGCTAAACAGTTGGAACGATTAAGTACGACGAGTCCTTCGAGCCGTGAGGAAAAGTTGCTCGTTCCGGTAACGATTTTCGCGAGGTCGTTTTTCGGCCCAGGGATTTATCGTGAACGCGCGCGGCAGTAAAGTCGACGGCTGCGGCTAAGAAACGCGGAAACAGGATTCCCGGCGAACAGGCGTGCGCGCGATTATCGCAAACCGCGTCGATTTAAATGAGCGGGAGAGATGAGCCCGGACGATACCGGAGGCTGCCGCCCGCCGCCGCCGCCGCAGCCGCCGCCGCCGCCCACCGCCGCCGCCGCCGCCGCCGCCGCCGCCGCCGCCGCCGCCGCCACCGCCGCCGCCACCGCCGTTGCCTGTTAATTAATCGAGCACGGGCCCCGCATCTGCCACAAGGTGGCCCGGCGCCTAATTAAACCGTCAGATTTTCAAGAAAGCCGATCCGCACGCCAGTGTACACAATGTTAATTGCACCGACCGCGCGATATCGATCTGTTAATTTGTACTATTCCGCGCGAACAATGCGTCTTCCGGCGCGCGTTTATCTCAAATTGGATCCGTGGCCGTGCGCGCGCGTACGCGAACAACGCACGTGCACGCACGCGGTCGCGTACGCGTACTCCGGGAAAATTTATCAACGACGCCGCATCGTTGTCCTCGTCGTCGGCATGGTCGTTGCCGAAGGGAAAAGGCTTTTGCCCGCTTTTGCTCGCGGTCATTTATCTGGAGAATGAAAATGATTGCATGCGAAGATGATTACACACTTCTCTCGGATTTTATTGACTTCAATTTCTGTGTAATCTTTATAACTGTGCGGAAGTCGCAGTAATTTCTGAGACGCACCGCTTCAAAGTTTTGCAATTCTGAATTATTATGTTTTTAATTATATATTTAAACTGTATTTTGAATTACATATCTTGATATAATTACACCTCTGGATCTCTTTCTACTATTCTTTTACACGATTCACATTTATAGCTTTTTTAATACGTGTTATTCAAAGTTATTTCGGATTTTCTTAATACGTTTATTTCACAGCAAAACAGACGTCATCACAGTTGACACAAAACGATAAAACAGAAGATATTTTGAGCGATGAAAGGGACTTTGTTCCAGTAGAAAGAAAACGAGTTTATTGTACTAGAATAGAAAGCGAGTATGATAAAAATGTTGAGTTTTTAGAAAAAATATTTCTTTTTCATTTTCCTCTATACATTAACTTTTCACTTTTGCGTTTAAATAAAACGTTTTTAGTAAATATATTTTTATATTTTAAATTGCTCTTTGTTTAGTTTATGTTACTTTAACACAAGTTTTATATTTTGTTGCAATCAATTTTTATTGCATACAACTTTTCACACGATTTTTTACACGGTACACATCCACTGAGTAGAAAGAAACCCAGCTATATATATCTTGTATTATATATTTTGCATTAATTATATATTTTAAATATTGAATTATTATATGATGATAATATAAATATGTAGAGAATGAACTCCCCACTATACAGGGTGTCCAAGATCTTTTGGAAACGAAAAATTATGAAGATTAATTAGATCAAACTGAGGAGAAAAGTCAAGTAAAAATCGCAATAGTTAATTATTAATGATAAGTTGTTAATAATAATAGTTAGTTATTAATGATAAGTTATTAATGATAATAATAAGTTATTAATGATTGAAAATGACCACATCTAGAAGCTCTTTTAATTGGTAACTTAAAAATTTATGTACTTATTTGCAAAATGGTAAAGGACTTTTTTGTTCAGAGTGATCCGATTAATCTTCACAATTTTTCGTTTCCAAAAGATCCCGAATACCCTGTATATTCTCACTACATAAGCATATACAGGGTGCACGATTTATCTGAAGACATTGAAATATCTCGAGAACTATGCATTGGATAAAAAAAGTGGTTAATGAAAGTTGTTAGTCTCGAAGGGGGACATCCAATGATACCAAACTCGACCTCCCACCCTACCCCCTGGGGGTGGGGGTTGGAGGCAACTTTGAAATCTTAAATGGAAACTCCCATTTTTTATTGCAGATACGGATTCTACGCCACAAAATACGTAAATTTTGTCCGAAATTTTTTTTTTGATTCGTGATAGATGGCGCTGTAATCGCAAAAAATTATATTTTCCGCAATTCTCCAGAAATGATCATTGGATTGAGAAATAAAAAATACCTGTTCAATATTTTTAAAGAACATAAAAGTTATCCCCCCCCCATTCTCTCGGGGTAGGGTGGGTGGTAATGTTCAAATCTCAAATAGGAACCTGAATCGAAGAGGGAACTGCTCGACGCGCCACTGTGGGTGTATGGCGAACTACGGCTTATTATAAAAGGCAGTGCAATGCGGTTCCAATGCGGTCCCCAAATGTGGGTCCCCATTTGAGATTTGAACGTTATCACCCACCCTACCCCGAGAGGATGGGGGGGAATAACTTTTATTATATTCTTTAAAAATATTGAACAGGTATTTTTTATTTCTCAATCCAATGATCATTTCTGGAGAATTACGGAAAATATAATTTTTTGCGATTACAGCGCCATCTATCACGAATCAAAAAAAAAGTTTCGTATTCGACAAAATTTACGTATTTTGTGGCTCCATGATGCCCCCAACCCCCACCCCATCCCCAGGGGATGGGGTGGGAGGTCGAGTTTGGTATCATTGGATGTCCCTCTTCGAGACTAACAACTTTCATTAACCACTTTTTTTTATCCAATGCATAGTTCTCGAGATATTTCAATGTATTCAGATAAATCGTGCACCCTGTATATCGTGCGCTACTCTTCCATGTTTACATTTTTTTATTTACATACGCTAGCCTCTTCAATAATATTTCAATTCGTAAAGAACCTGTCAAAAATATTCGAATCTATCATTGTACTAAAAATTTATAAGTCTATCATATTAAAATAACGGATCTTGAAGAGATTAACAAAGGCCCCTACACAGAACTTGAGTCTCAACGATTTATCATTATAATTTATAACGATTTATTATAATATAATTCTTCATAAATTTCGCAATAATCAATAATATATATAATATTTTCATATATAATACAACTCTTCATAAATATTCAAGCCTTGATGATCTTTTTAAGATCTGTTATTTCAGCATACGACAAATTCATCGATATGTTTAGTAAGATGGAAGAGTTTAAGAATATTCTCACTGAAACAGGCTTATGGAAGGAAGATAAGAGTAAGAAATATTCACATAGACGAACAACATGAATGATGGATTTTTGGAATGACAGAAATTCTAATTGCTGTACCATACCAGGTATGTAAATATGAAACCGGAAATTTTGTATAGAAAATACACGTTTATTGTATGAAAATGATAAAAAATATTTTATTCGAAGTATTGCCCATAGCTAGCTATACATTTTTCCCACCTGTCTGACAATTTGTGAACGCCACGCCAAAAAAACTGCTGCTCTTTTGAGGCAAACCAGTCATCGAGCCATTTTCGTACATTTT